AAGAGCTTAAAAAGAGCATTAAATTTGTGTTATTCATTCCTGTATAAACCCTGTTTAATTGTTTTCATGACAGGCCGCTGACGAAGGACATCTTCAACGCTCAGTTTGGCAGTCTCTTCCGCACTTACCACAATCCCACCTACTTCTCTCGCCGACTGTCACGCTTTGCAGACATCTACATGGCATCGATCAGTTGCATGCTCAACTATGACCTCCAGCACACATTTTTTCCTAGACGCACCCCTCTGCAACACGAGGCCCCCTTCTGGCCAGAACAAAGTTCTTCTGGATTTGGGATCTCTTCTTCTTCCCTGGCTCCTCAGGACCAAGACAGGGTCTGATTAGTCACGGAAAGAGCAGAAGATAAAGATGGAACAATCCCCTCTGCTTTATCCTTTAAGAGGTGTTTTGATAGAATTAGGTAGTGTTTTAGAGGGCATATATTGGTTTTAAATCGTTTCCTTCTTAAGCAGGAAGGCTTGTAGATCATAATCTTGCATTTATTTTAAAGTCCAAAATATAGACCCATTTAAAACATTGTGAAACCAACAAATTAATCAGAAGCCATCTGAAAATTGTCAAAGAGCTGAGTCTGACACTTCAAATTTGAGAACAATGGCACAAGACAGTGTGCACCCAAGACAACAGCGATGACAGTCAGGTTTCAAGCTCAAATTTTCTTTCACGCATTGAGGATATTTGAGTATTTATGCAATAAGAAGGAGAGCAATAATTTTAAAAAGTAATAAAAGGGCTAAAAAAATCTTAATACACCCAACCTGCTTTCAAGTTATATGCCGAGATTTCTGCCCTAGGTCTGGTCAGCATTTTACTCCAAGGCTCGTGGACACCAGCAGCCCCGTTTCTCCCAACAATCAGAATACTTTATATTAGCATCAATTGTAAAAGTAAGTTTCTAATGTAATTAGTCTGTTTACTCAGACTTAAAATAGATGGAAATCCTGCAATAATATATTCTGAGGACACTAGCTTTTACCACATCGTTTGGCCCTAAAACGTCACTTCTAGCTAATGCAGTCAAATAGTCCCTTTTGCACAGACAAATACTAAGAAATGATGCCGTTACAACTAATGTTGAAAGCCTACATTTTATGACCTTATGACCTTTAGGCTTAGATTCAGCTATTATAGAGGCGTTTGTGGTCTGGCTGTTAACCTCCTGCTTATGCTAGAGATTTAGTTGTATTGTTTATGGGTCTCTCAGCTTTGGGTTGTTCCATCCCTTATCTCAGAATTCTTTTTTTTTTTTTCTTGGGGAAAATTTTTTTATTTTTTTTGTGTGTTTTTTGGGGGAGTTGAGGAGAAATCTTATCTTTACTTATGTTTGCTCAAGTTTTTTCACTCCTTCATTTCCTTCTGCCATATTTTCACCATATATTATTTTTGGGGGGTGGAAATTACACTCCGTTCTTTGATTTGCTTAAGGTAATTTGGTTACAGACGATGTGTCATCTGCCTAAGATACCTCCACCAGCTTGTTGTTTGTTCTATTTTTTTTTTTTTTTTTCAGAAAATATGTTCTAAAATAACTTATATGCTTTAAAAATTATGGAAAAGTCATTCATTTTTTATTGAAGTTTTTTTTTAAGATTCTGGCTCCAAAATAGTGTATATTTGCCCTTTTAAAGTAATGAGATTAAAATAGTTTTTCTTTAAACATGTTATTTATTTGAATACTTTCAGATAGTTATGTCTGAAAGAGCACTGGGTGTTTTATTTTCTAAGCCAAAAACTGCTATTATGTGCATGTGTGATGGTGCGAGTAGGTTGAATAGATATTTACGTAGCTTGAACAGTAGGGGGCAGTCTCACTCCAGGATTAGCATGCACTTGTGTTTTTGTCTTAATGCCTCTAGCCTCCCCTGGTAAAATGGGGGGTTTTTACATTAACACTGTATTCTCCATTGCCTTAATCTGTTTTCTTTTTTCTCATTACTGCAGGATGTGTTTTTATAATAGGCTGATGTTATGCAGTATTTTTCTTTCAACTGATTTTGTGCAGCACATTGAAACTTATACCACAATGATGTTTTAGCATATTTCTTTGTATTGGTTTAACCATTTTACACCAGATTATGTCTTATGTCAGAGGACTGGTAATTGAATATTCTTGTGAAAGCTGCTGTTCCATCAATGAACAAAACATCCTTATGCTGATTTTAAGTGAACAGGGAAAGTGTTTTTCTTCTCTTCCTGATATAAAACCATGTAAAGCACTGACACATCATGTAAAAGGGATTATTAAATAAAGTTTTAGTGGCAATAACCTTCACATTCATTTGTAAATGGGCTTCATTTGATCATCTGTGTCCTCTCCAGAGCTAGATGGCATTCTTTACTGTAGTCTTTACTGCAGTAATTACATTCAGCATTAATTGTGTTTAATGAGTATTTGTTCAGCTGCACTCAAATGTTGCGTTGGTTCATACACGTGGAAAGCATTTAAAGTTTTCAGCAAATGAATTTGAGGACTGATTGCTGTTTATCAGACTCAACTTTCCAATTACAATTACAGCCTTGGGTTTAGTAGGTTTAATCCTGGGAAATCGTGTTAAGAGCCAATTTCCCATAATGCTTTTGTTGGCTTTCTCAATCAGACAGGTGCACAATCTGAGATCCCTGATGAAACCAAAAGCCAGCAGGAATCAGAAATGATAAAGCCTGAAGTCTGAAGGGTCACTTTAGTGCTGCACAGGAACATCTGAGCAACATGGAGAGAAACAACACTTCCCTTACAACCATCCCCTCAGAGGTGATGGTGACTCAAGCGCCGACTATTTTCCCAAGGGTGGGCTACAGTATTCTGTCCTTTTTGATGTTCATCAATACAGTGTTTTCGGTTTTTAACAACGGACTGGTGATTGGCGTGATGTTGAGGAACACATTTCTTCTCCAGCCCATGAACGTTTTGGTCCTCAGCCTGGCGGTTTCTGACCTCATGATCGGCCTTTGTGGCTCGCTGGTTGCCACCATCACAAACTACCAGGGCTCCTACTTTATTGGCCACACAGCCTGTATTTTTCAGGGATTTTCTGTGAATTATTTTGGTAAGTAAAGCTGCAAGGATTGGGAACTCTGTGATTGGAATTCAGGTTCCCATAATGTATATCATGATTTCCATTTATTATTATTTCTATTTATAATTACTTTTGTCGATTTCAATTTATATTTTCTGTCTTTAATAGAAGAGTATGTAAACTTTCAAGCACAGCTGTAAACTACTTCTCTCCCACCACAAACCCTTCATTTAATTAAGAAACTGTCTTGTGTTTTGTCTTGAACCCCAGTCGGCCTCAGCAGATGGCCGCTCACACTGAGCCTGGTTCTGCTGGAGGTTTCTTCCTGTTA